TGGTGCAATGATTCCTAGGACCTACAAGAAAAGAAGCAAATTGCTTGGCTGAGAAAATCAATCTGGTCCCTGCATAAATGCCCAGCCTCATAGCAGGGTGCCTCCATATACTTTCTGAACAGGTCAGATCAGTTTCTTTCGCAATTAGAGTTCCTTTGCTCCTGTGTCTCTGTCTGAAAGGCCCTTCCTCCTCTGGGTCTACCCGGTGAATCTTACTCATCATTCAAGATACAATTTACGTGTTTTCTCTTAATCTGAACAAAATGCTGTCACTGCAACCTGGTGCATAGCTCCATCACAGGGATTATGGCAAATATCCAACTTACTGTTTATGGGTCTCTCTCCCCCACCTAGACTGTAAGATCCTTCTTAAAGAAATCATTTCTGAATTATCTGAATTATCAACCTCGGCACATCAGACATCCATTAAGTGCCTGTCCCCTTCCCTCCCGCAGTACTTCCCCAGTGAGCCCTGAAGACACAAATGACTAGACAAATTACAGTCCCTGGATGGTAGGTACAAAGAAGAGAGAGGAGCAGTCACAGTCATGAGTAAAAGAATGACACTGATGGGGAACACCAGACACTAGAACAAAGACCCTGAGCTCCTGCTGCTGAAGTCCCAAGAACTCCTCGATCCTGCCCCCCTTCTTCCAAGTGGTTATCAGAACTTCATGGTTTCATTCATTCATTATACTCCCATTTTCTAGATAAAAACAGTTCTTTAGTACTACTGTCTTCATCCTTCTATCATTCAACTATTTTCTTTGCCTTGATTCATGAATTTATGATTATTAGCAGAATGTAGGCTCCTACTAGGCAAGCTCATATCTTAAATTTCAAGGACAGAGATAGGGCATTTTTTATATATTCACTGGGTAATTATTTTTTATAATTAGAAGGAAAAAAATCTAAGACCCTAACTCCAACAAACAAGCAAATAAACAACCTGTTCTGAATAATTTTTAGCAATCTCCCCCCTCGATAGAGGAGTACATATCTGACTAAATATAGTTACATCAATTTTATAGGGCCATAAACTACTGTACTTTATACAGCTGATTTTTTTGAAAAATTGGATCTCATAGCAAAGTCTCTTCTAGGACCAGGATTACTCTGCCAGGCTTGGGAAATAGCCCTTGGATGCTATCAGTTTTCAACACCAATATATTAGACTTGAGAACCTGGAGGGGAAAAATAGGTTATACTTGTTTTGTGTCTGGGAACTTCTTCCCAAATATTTTTCTATGTATACAAATGCATATAAAGACATAAAATTTTACATAAATAGTATGATACCAGGTATTTGTTTTGCTGCCTGCAATATAATACCTTTTCATATTAATAAATGTAGATTCTCAGTGTTTATATATTATTGTACTGCATTCTTACACATTAAGACCTTTATATCATTATTATTTATTAACCAAGTTATGAAGTATCTGTTCTTTTGCCTATTTTTGTCTGGGTTGTTTAGCTTCTTTTTTTTTTTTTTTTTTTAAAGATTTTATTTATTTATTTCACAGAGCGAGATCACAAGTAGGCAGAGAGGCAGGCAGAGATAGAGAGAGAGGAAGGGAAGCAGGCTCCCCGCTGAGCAGAGAGCCCGATGCGGGGCTCGATCCCAGGACCCTGAGACCATGACCTGAGCCGAAGGCAGAGGCTTAACCCACTGAGCCACCCAGGTGCCCCTGTTTAGCTTCTTTTTAAAAATCAGTTTATAGGAGTTCTCCATAGATTCTGAGTATGAACCCTTTGTCAAATATATGTTAATGGTGTCTTTTGATGAGAGGAGTTGAATTTTGATAAAACCCATTAATCAATTTTTTTCTTTTATGATTAGTGTTGTGTTATAGGAAATCATTGCCAGGGCACCTGGGTGGCTCAGTTGGTTAAGCATCAGACTCTTGATTTTGGCTCATGTCATGATCTCGGGGTTGTGAGATCCAGAGTCCTGGGTCGAGCTCCACACCAGATGTGGAGCCTGCTTAAGATTCTCTCTTTCCCTCTCCTCTGCCCTTCTTCCCACAGCACCCCCCCCCATTTTTTTTTTTTTAAATCATTGCCTTGGGTATGGAAATAGGGAAAAACTGGAAACACCTTATACTTTCATATGTCAATTATACTCCTATAAAGCTGAAATTTAAAAAAAGAAATTATTGCCTACTCTCAAGTCATGAAAATATTCTCCTGTATTTTCTTCTAAATGCTTTAATTTTTTTTTTTTTAAGATTTTATTCATTTATTTGACAGAGAGAGACACAGCGCAAGAGGAAACACAAGCAGGGGGAGCGGAAGAGGGAGAAGCAGGCTTCCTGCTGAGCTAAAGGCAGATGCTTAACGACCGAGCCACCCAGGCACCCCTCTTCTAAATGCTTTAGTTTTATCTTTCACATTTGGGCCCAAGATCCACCTCCAATTATCATTTGCATATGGTGTGAAGTAGGGATCAGTTATTTTTTTCCATATGATTATCCATTAAAAATTTATTTTTCATTAGAATACGTTTTACAATTCCCTTATATATTTTTGTTCCCAAGAATGATTTAAAATACACCTTTAAATCTTAACCTAAGGAATAATCAGCTGATAAATTTCTTAATATAAAAGCATTTTTCCTAAAGATTAGTATTTTAAAAAATATCATCAAGGGTCATGTGTTCCCTGGATGACTCAGTTGGTTAAACATTTGACTCTTGATTTCATCTCAGTTTGTGATTTTACGGTCATGAGATTGAGCCCTGTGTCTGGCTCCACACTGGGCGTAGAGCCTGCTTAAAAGTCTCTCTCTTGGGGTGCCTGGGTGGCTCAGTGGGTTAAAGCCTCTGCCTTCAGCTCAGGTCATGATCCCAGGGTCTTGGGATGGAGCCCTGCATCAGGCACTCTGCTCAGCAGGGAGCCTGCTTCCTCCTCTCTCTCTGCCTGCTTCTCTGCCTACTTGTGATCTGTCAAATAAATAAATAAAATCTTAAAAAAAAATAAAGTCTCTCTCTCTCCCTCTCCTTCTGCACCTCTACCTCCCTCTAAAAAAAAAAAAAATATATATATATATATATATATAAATATATATGTGTGTGTGTATTATCAAGGGTCAGACAATCAAGTAGCAAAAATAATCTTCTGGACAAATTAGTTTTATTTAAAACTTCATTAAAATGCAGTTCATTCATAAATTCAACTCTATAATAGAGTGGTAATTTTAGAAAATTCATAAAGTAAACATTAATTTTTACTATAATTTTAAGAGTTATTCTTTGTTGTTATTGTTAAAATTTTATAATTATAAAATTGCATTTTTGCTTTTGGCAAACAACCATAGAAAGTGAAGTTTTAGGTGTTATTTGATAAATAGCACTGCATTTAGTGGAGCTAAAATTTTAAGTGGAAATATAATTGTCTTCTTTAAATATATATCTACAATGTTTCATGTTATACCCCTTACTTCTCTATCTACAATGGACATGATCACACGACAGGTCTAGAAGAAGGGAACTAACTTTGTTGAGTACCTTCTGTGTATTAAGCATTGAGCTAGATGCCTCTATTCCATGAATCTCAATCTTCATAACAACTCTTCAAAAGAATCCTCATTTTCCCTCCATTTTTTAGGTAAGGAAACCAAGACTCAATGGGGTTAAATATTTCCCAAAATCTATAGCTAGCAAGGGAAAGAAGTGGGGCTGTAAGGGAAGTCTATCTGAATTCAAAACCCAAGCTCTTTTCTCTATACACTACTATTCTCTGGGAGAAAATGGTTGATAAACAAAGACAAATTATGTATCTTAGGACATTCATTGGTAAGTTTCTTTTCAATAATGAAAGAAGTAACGTGTTTTTCTGAATACCTTGCTTAAGATTATGGCATACACTATAAAGGACAGTTAAGAATGTTCACTTACCATGAAGGACTTTATATAACCTAGCTGAGCAGATAAAACTAACATGTATGACATAATTAGTGAACAATATCAAATAGTTCAAATTAACTGTTAAAGTAAGATCTAGAGACCATTGTTGTTGCAGGCATTTTTGAAATGATGACCACACTGAAGGTCACTGAGGTAATGTTTAGAGTGGGCTACATTATGAAAGATCTTGAAAGAGTTAAACTTAATAAAGTGACATTTAAGAGACCCTTGAAGCTTTCTGATCTTGCAAGAGGTGCTTACAAAAGTTTTCTTCAGCAGAAATACTCAGCGTATTTCTGAGTAGAATGTGAACAATGAAGTCATGAAGAACTTTTTAAAATTCTAGCAGTAAAACAAGGGCCTGAACTAAGGTAGTCCTGGTGATAAACTTGAAAATCAAATGATATGTTACTAGGATTAAGATTCTCCTCTCCAGGGGGCGCCTGGGTGGCTCAGTGGGTTAGGTCACTGCCTTCGGCTCGGGTCATGGTCCCAGGGTCCTGGGATCGAGCCCCGCATCGGGTTCTCTGCTCAGCGGGGAGCCCACTTCCTCCTCTCTCCTGCCTGCCTCTCTGCCTACTTGTGATCTCTGTCTGTCAGATAAATAAATAAAACCTTTAAAAAAAAAAAAAAAAAAGATTCTCCTCTCCAGTAGGATTGTACTTACTACAGATAAAATACTATAATTGAAACAAAGAATATAAAAAAACATATATAGTTGTCAGCATGCTCTCAACAATATGGAAATTCTAGATCCATCTAATTTAATCTATATTGTTTTCAGTAAATGGATTTTATTCTGTTACAACAAAGCTGCTCACCTCTGTGAAAATTAAAACATCTTTAAAGACCTCTTACTCTTCCTTAGTCTCGGAAATAACCAGTTTTTCAGGAAAAAAGAAAGAAGGTACCATAAATTAGTGGAATCTCTGTAATGCAAGGCCAACCAAAATGTGATTTATACCTGTATCACATGGAATGTGATTATAGGTTATGACATGTAAATTCTTTCAATTACCTTCAATATATCAAAATTACATTTTATAAAGGGGTTTAAAACATAATTGTCCTAAATTATTATTAGACCAGGCCCACTGAAATCTTCTTTCCAAATCTTTTAAATACATACAGTATCATAAGGATATAAGCCTAATAAAATAAGCACTAAGTGTTTTTTGATTAGATGAATTAGAGCATATCATCATCATAATTTATATGGTAATTAATTCAGACCAAAGCAGAGGGTTATGAAACCAAAACATGAAATAATTTAGAAGAATCCTCTTAGAGATTAACTTTGACTCCAATGGCTTGTTTAAATTCATGGTTTTGTGGTTCCAAGATATCATAGAAAACTTGTTTTTTGTCAAAATGGTCTCTAATGCAAAGCAAATCTTCAATGGAATAGTTATCATTTTTCCCAGTCCAAATAGTCAGGCTGTACCTGCATTAAAATAAAACAGAATTTTATACTGAAAAGTAAAAGATAAGAAACAGTGATAAGGAATTCCAATAAGCCTAAAAATAGTTACTCTCATTTATCTTTAACCCAAATTCACACAGACAAAAAAATTAATTAGCAGTGCTGGAACATATAGTTCCTGTTTCATTCCTTCATGAACATCAAAAGGACTAGAGAGAAAAAAATTCACATTGCCATCATCTAAATTAGGTAACTGCTATATCTGAATTACAGGAATGTGAAATGGCTTTGGAAACCCAGACTGGTAACCCTGAAAATGGGCGAAATTTTGGACAAAAAAACTGAAGAGATTATAATGCTGAATAAAGAATTTGTTCCCTACACAAAACCTACAGCTCTAATTTGGGTTTTTTTTCAGTAGCCTAGGTAGAGTGAAAGGCATGACTGCAAGGGACTATGAAGAGATACAAATGTCACTGACATTACCAACATTCCTATTCACTTACATGTGGCCCCACTCTCCCTTCTGGGGGTGTTTGTATGAGATATAAGACTGCCAAGGGATGTCACTAAGGATGCCAAACAGAATAAATTTAGATCCATTTCTGGGCGTTAAAAAAACAATAATAATATATGCAGATTTATCATGGATGTTAAGAATATACTCAGAATTTTAAAGTTATTTAAATTATATATTTTCATTTCTTCCAGTAGACATTACTTCTATTACAAAACTATTGCATCAGAGTCTAAGAAAATGCAAAGCTGCTAAGTAGTTCCACACTTATTTTCCCCATAAACATTTCAGAATGCAGGAAAAAAATCTCCAAAGTCCTTCTTCTACTACTACTAAGAAAGTCTAACCAAGGTATATGTTCTTGCTATGTTGGCACATTCCGGTCCTTGAGGATTGTGATACCATTCTAGAGATGCACTTTGAATTTTATGTGGAATTTTATTCCACAGCAGCATTTGGTTTGCTGCATAGCAGCAAACCAAAAAGAAATATTAAGCTACAAGTGAGGACACACACAGACACACACACAAATGAGAATTTCTTTAAAATCTATATTTTTACGACTTACCAAGACTGAATCAGAAGGAATTTAAAAATCTGGATAGATTAACTACTAGTAAACAAATTGAATCAACAATTAAAAAATCTCCCAATGAAGAAAAGCCCAGAACCAGATGGCTTTCGGTGAATATTTCCAAACATAAAGAATTAACACCTATTCTTCTCCAACTCTTCCAAATAACTGAAGAGCAAGACAATCCCAAATTTATTTTACAAGACCAGCATTATCTTGATACCGAATCCAGAAAAGGACACTATTAGTAAAGAAAACTGTTAAGTTAATATCCCTGATGAATATAGATGAAAAAATTCTCAATTAAATACTACCAAGCCGAAGTCTGCAGCACAACAAAAGAATCATTCACCATGATTAAGTGGGATTTATCCCTGTGATGTGAAGATAGTTCAACACACACAAATCAATTTTATACATCACATTTAATAGAATGAAAGAATAGAATCATACGATCATTTTAGTAGGTGCAGAAAAAGCATCTGACAAAATTCAACATCCACTCATGAAAGAACTCAATAAATCAGGCTCAGAAGGAACATATCTCAACAATAAAGGCCATTTATGACAAGTCTACAGCTAACAACATACTCTATGATGATAGGATGAAAGCTCTTCTTCTAAGATCAGAAACAAGACTAGGGAGCTTACTCTCACCACTCTTATTCAACATAGTCTTGAAAGTCCTAGCTACAGAAATGAGGCAAGAAAAAGAAATAACAAGTGTAAGAATTAGAAAGAAGTCAAATTGCCTCTATTTGCAGATGACATGATTCTGTACATAGACTTTGTATAGAGACTCAACCAAAAACCTGTTAGATCTAATCAATGAATTCAGTAAAGTTGCAGGATACAAAATTAATTTACAAAAATCAGTAGCATTTCTATACACTAACAGTGAAATTTCTGAAGAAGAAATAAATTGATCTCATTTACAATAGCATCAAAAATAGTAAAAGACATGGGAATAAATTTAATCGAAGTAAAAGATGTTTATGCAAAAATTATGACACTGATGAAAGAAATCAAAGAGGACATAAATAATGGAAAAATATTCTGTCTTCATGTATTAGAAAAATTAATACTAAAATCTTAATACTACCAAGAGATTCAATGCAATCCCTATCAAGATTCCAATGGGATTTTTGACAGAAGTAGAAAAAACTCTCCTAAAATTTATATGGAACCACAAAAGACCCTAAATAGCCAAAGAAATCTTAATAAAGAAGAACAAAGCAGGAGGCATCATACTTCCTCATTTCAAATTATACTATATAGCAATAGTCATCAAAACAGTGTGGTAGTGGCATAAAAATGGACAAATAGACCAACAGAACAGAATCAAGAGCCAAGCATACATGTCAACTAATATTTGACAAAGGAGCCAAGATTACTCAATGGGAAAAAAAGTCTCTTCAATAAATGGTGCTAGGATAATTAGATAGTCACGTGTAAAAGAATGAAGCTGAACCTACATCTTTTTTTTTTTTTTAAGATTTTTAAAATTTATTTGACAGAGAGAGAGAGATCACAAGTAGGCAGAGAGGCAGGCAGAGAGAGAGGGGAAGCAGACTCCCTGCCGAGCAGAGAGCCCAATGTGGGTCTCGATCCCAGGACCCTGGGATCATGACCCGAGCCGAAGGCAGAGGCTTAACCCACTGAGCCACCCAGGTGCCCCAAGAATGAAGCTGAACCTATATCTTATATCAGACACAAAAATTAACTTGAAATGAGTTAAACAATTAAATGTAGGATCTGAAACCATTAAACTCCAAGAAGAAAGCATAGGAATAAAGCTCCTTGACATGGGTCTTTGTAATGATTTTTTTGGATATGACACCTAAAGCACATGAAACAAAATAAAAAATAATCAAGTGGGACTAAATCAAACTAAAAGGCTTCTGCACAGCATAAAAAAAATCAACAAAGTGAAAATAGCCTCTGCAATGGGAATGGGTAAAAATATTTGCAAACTATAGATAAGGTGTTAATATCCAAAATACATAAAGAACTCACAAAAAAACTAATGGTAACAAATTAAAATTAAAAAAAAAAAAAACCCATTTTAAAAATGGGTTAAAAGAAAAAAAAAAAGACCTAAACAGACATTTTTCCAAAGAAGATATATGAAAGGCCAACAGGTACATAAAAAGATGCTCAACATCATCAGTCATTATGGAAATGTAAATCTAAACCACAATGACATACCACCTTATGGAGGTTAGAATGGCTATCATCAACAAAACAAGAGATAACAAATGCTGGTGTGGATGTTAAGAAAAGGGAATCCTTGTGTGCTGCTGGTGGGATTATAAATTGGTTCAGCCACTATGGAAAATAGTACAGAGGAGCCTCAAAACTACCCTATGATCCATCAATTCTACTTCTGGGAATATATCCAAAGGAAACAAAAACATTAACTTGAAAAAATATCCACACCCTCATGTTCACAGAACCATTGTTTACAATAGCCAAGACGTGGAAACAACCTAAATGTCCATCAATGGATGAATGGATAAAAAAGGTTGTGGTATATACATTTATACAGTGTAGTATTATTCAGCCATAAAAAAATGAGGAAACCTTACCATTTGTGACAGCATGGATGGACCCTGAAGGCATTAGCTAAGTAAAATAAGTCAGACAGAAAAAGACAATACTGTACAATCTCACTTACATGTAGAATCTAAAAGGAAAAAAACCCTCATAAACAAAGAGATTAGACTTGCGGTTACCAGATGTAGAGGGTGCGGAGGGGGAAATGGGCAGGTGGTCAAATGTACAAATTTACAGTTATAAGGTAAGTACTAAGGATCTAATGTACAACATGATGCCTAGAGCTAACATTGCTCTATGATTACATAGGCAAGTTTTTTTTTTTTTAATTTTATTTTTTATAAACATATAATATATTTTTATCCCCAGGGGTACAGGTCTGTGAATCGCCAGGTTTACACACTTCACAGCACTCACCATAGCACATACCCTCCCCAATGTCCATAATCCCACCCCCCCAACCCCCCTCCCCCCATTAACCCTCAGTTTGTTTTGTGAGATTAAGAGTCACTTATGGTTTGTCTCCCTCCCAATCCCATCTTGTTTCATTTACTCTTCTCCTACCCCCTTAACCCACCATGTTGCATCTCCTCTCCCTCATATCAGGGAGATCATATGATAGTTGTCTTTCTCCGATTGACTTATTTCGCTAAGCATGATACCCTCTAGTTCCATCCACGTCGTTGCAAATGGCAAGATTTCATTTCTTTTGATGGCTGCATAGTATTCCATTGTGTATATATACCACATCTTCTTTATCCATTTGTCTGTTGATGGACATCGAGGTTCTTTCCATAGCTTGGCTATTGTAGACATTGCTGCTATAAACATTCGGGTGCACGTGCCCCTTCGGATCACTACGTTTGTATCTTTAGGGTAAATACCCAACATAGGCAAGTTTTTTAGAGAGTAAATTCTGAGTTCTCATCACAAGGAGAAATCGTTTTTCTTTTTCCTTATCTTCATTCTTTTTATTGTATTTATATGGGAAGACAGAGGTTAACTGAACATCTGAACATGTGGTGGTAATCATTTCACAATATAAATAAATCTAACCATGATGCTGTACACCTTAAACTCATACAGTGATGGGGGCGTCTGGGTGGCACAGTTGTTTAGGTGTCAGACGCCTAGTTTTGGCTCAGGTTGTGATCTCAGGATCGTGGAATCAAGCCTCAAGTTGGGCTCCATGCTCAGCACGGAGTCTTCTTAGGACTCTTTCTCCCTCTCCCTCTATCCCTCCCCACTGGGTCACTCTCCCTCTCAAATAAATAAATAAATCTTAGAAAAAGACTTATACAGTGATATAATTTCATTTATTTCTCAATAAAACAAAAATACTAAAAAAAAACCCTGTATTTTTTTTTTTGCTAAAATGGCATCTTTATTATTTTATTTGAACACAATGGTGACTAACCTTATGATAAACAGATATGAATTCAGGCTAAAAAAGGAGCTCTCCAGTCTTACTCTGCCTCTTTTAATCCTCTCTCTATTATATTTAAAGTGAAATAGGAAAAAAAATTACCTCAGGGTACCTAAATTATATTTATTCAAATCAATTCTCAAGTTTCATTTTTAATCCCTTTTTATTGTGAAATTATATAGGAAAAATGCATAATACATAAATATGCATTTTAATGAATTATTATAAAATGAACTCTAGTTAACCAAAACACAAATCAAGAAGTAGAGAACCACCACTACACTGGGAAGTACTCATATGTCACTCTATAATCAACATTTCCTCTACCCTGGACTGCTCACAATCTTGACCTTTGTGGTAGTCATATTCTTACTTTTCTTTATTTACTACCTATATAGCCATCCCTAATCAGTACAGTTTAATTTTTGCCCGTTACTTAATTTTATATAAATGGAATCATATGATGCATAATTTTTTTTAGTCTTGCCTCCTTTTTTTTTTTTTTTAAAGACTTCATCTATTTGGAAGATGGAGAGAGACAGAGAGAGCAAGCACATGTGCACCAAGTGGGGGAGGGAAAGAGGGAGAAGCAGACTCTCAGCTGATCGGGAAGCCTGATTCAGGGCTTGATCCCAGGATCCAAGATCTGACCGAAGCGGAAGGCAGATACTTAATCAACTGTGTGTAAAGAAGTGAAGAGAATCTGCCCATGTCTGTACATGACAGAGAAAGCCTACCAAAGACATTGCTAGATGAGGGGCTCATTCTACCTAAACACTTTGCAACAGTGGGAATGGCATCCCTGAGCTACAAGTGGAAGCTTTCTTCAATTAGGTTTGGTCCCAAGAAGCTATGAAGATAAGGAAAGAGTGAACACGGAAAAGCCATAGTTGTAGGTATCAGACTATTCCTGTAGTAACTCAAAATTTAAAATTTAAGCAACAGATAAAAGATTTTACTTAGAGGGGTTCCTGGGTGGCTCAGTCAGTTAAGTGTCTGCCTTTGGCTCAGGTCATGATCTCAAGGTCCTGGTATGAAGCCCTGCATCGGGCTCCCTGCTCAGCAAGGAGCCTGCTTCTCCCTCTCCCTCTGCCGCTCCCCCTGCTTGTGCTCTCTCTCTCTCTCTCTGTCAGATAAATTTAAAAACATTTAAATTTTAAAGGGGGGGGGCGCTTGGGTGGCTCAGTGTGTTGGGCCTCTGCCTTTGGCGTGGGTCATGATCTCAGGGTCCTGGGATCGAGTTCCACATCAGGCTCTCTGCTCAGCAGGGAGCCTGTTTCCTCCTCCTCCTCTCTTTCTCCCTCTCTGCCTGCCTGTCTGTCTACTTGTGATCCTTCTCTGTCAAATAAATAAATAAATAAATCTTTAAAAAAATAAAACCTAGATAATGGATTTATCTTTTTTTTAGAAACCAGCTCTTAGATTTATTCATATTTTTGATTAATGATTCACTAATTTCTGTCTTTTATCTTTTAAAATTATGTTTTATATAGCTTCATAATTTCTTGAGTTGGATGCTTTACTTTCATTTTTATATTTATTAACATATTTATATTTATTAATGCAAGTATTTAAGACTTTTCTTTTTTCTCTGACCACTGCTTTAGCAGTGTCCCATTGTTCCTTTTGTGTAGGTTTTCATTATTGTCAATTTGTATCACACAATTGTAAGTTTTTCCTCAAAAGTTTTTTTTTTTAAGATTTTTTTTATTTATTTGACAGAAATCACAAGTAGGCAGAGAAGCAGGCAGAGAAAGAGAGAGGAGGAAGCAGGCTCTCTGCTGAGCAGAGAGCCCGACGTGGGGCTCGATCCCAGGATCCTGGGATCATGACCTGAGGCGAAGGCAGAGGCTTAACCCACTGAGCCACCCAGATGCCCCTCCTCAAAAGTTGTTTTAAGAGAAATTTTTTAGGCATCTAGGTAGTAGAATTATTTTTTATTTTGGGTTTATTATAGTTTCTGGGTTTACTGTATTATAGAATATAATATAGATTCTATAAAATAGAATATAATATAAGAAAACATCTTATTTTACTTTGTAGATTTTCTTAAGGGCTTCATATATAGGTATTTGTATGAGTTCATGTATTATATGAGGATATAGTTCGGCTGCTATAATAGAAACCTAAATTAAAAATAGCTTAAACAAGCCTAGCTCTCTTTCTCACATAGCTGGAAAAGCACAAATAATTCAGGGCTGATTTTGTGCCTCCACATGTCAAGGACCCAGGAGACTCCTACCTTGATGCTCTTGCTTTCCTTAGGATATTGCCTTCTCTAGTTTATTGTGCATCTAGTTTAATCAAGAAACAAGACGGAAAGCTCAAATAAAGAAAATAAGAAAATAAAGACATAGAAATGTGGGATCCAAGAGCAGGCCACCCCAAGATGGCACAAACATTATTTTGAGTTAAAAAACAAACAAAACCCCAGCAGATACAGGAAAATCTCTTTACCTCCTCCTCAACAGCCAGCTTGTACCAGGAAGAGAGCTATTAACAGAGATTGCTCTTAACAGAAACTTACCTACATAATAGGTATTATTTATTATATTATAGTATAGTATAGTAGTAGTATTATATTATACATAATATATTATAAATTTATTATATTATTATAAAATATAAAATTTTATTATAAATATATTATTAAATTTATTATATTTATTATTTTATTTATTTTAGAAGATTAAAATAGTATATAACCCTATAAACCCATTCATTCTCTGGAACACTTTCTTCCCTGCATTTCTGAGGTAGCTATCTTAATTTGAGCTCAAGTAAAAAAAATATATATATTTTTTAATATTAGACTTCTTTCTCTGGTAACTTTGCAGCGAGAATAGCTTCTAAGTTTTGTGCCTTACTAAGAAAGGTCTTCTCCACTCTGAAACTACAGAAAATATCATATTTTTTCTTTGTGTATTTAATGCTTGATTTTCAAGTCTTTAATTCACCTGGAATTCATTTTGGAAGAAAGATCAATGAAAGGTGCCAGTTTTTTTTTTTTTTTTTTCTGCACAGTTGGCCTATTCTCACATACCATACTGAACTTTTGCACCAATGACTTGAAATGCTAGCTTTCCCTAAACTAATTTCCATGATAGATTTGGGTTTATTTCTGGATTTTCCTTGTTCTACTAACTAGTATATTAAAAAGACAGTATCAAAATTGTTTCAATATCTGTACATTTATAATCTCTTTTGATATTTAAGAGGTAGTCCAACTAATTTTTATTATATATTAAAATAATAAAATTTTTATATGGAAGAAACTTCTGAAATTTAGAATTCAAAGAGAAACTATTTTATTGACTTAAAAACTTTTTGAGAGTGTATAACATAATAGAAAAAGGACATTTACTGGGCACCTACTGTGTTCAGAAACTTTTGTGAGGAATAGAGGTGAAAGACATGATGTTATGTAAGTGAAGATTAATCAGGAGCTTCTTTCAAGTGAGGGGATTTGTTCACTTACACAATCAGTGTTCATTCTCTGTCTCCATCTTTTTCTCACACACACTGTCTTTTTTTTTTTACGATTTTATTCATTTATTTTTGAGAGAGAGAGTGCGCATGCATGAGTGGGGGAAGGAGCAGAGGCAGAGGGAGAAGCAGGGAAGCCTAATGTGGGGCTCGATTCCACAACTCTGGGAACACGACGTGAGCCGAAGGCAGACACTTAACCGACTGAGCCAGCCTGGCATCCCCACGCACTGTCTTTCCATAATCCGTTTTCATCCTCTGTCTCTTTCTCACACATCTCACACACATATGCTATTTTGTTAAACTTACACATACCTGTTTGATTTCTTTAACAGCCAAAGTAACTGAGAACAAGACTGCCTGACTAATGCTGCTCTGACAGGAAATGTTACAGGCTGATTTAGCTCCTTACATATATACTCCATTTCTTTCACCATTGTCCAACTGTAACCTGAAATGAAAGAAAGAAATTCAATTTTTCTAACTGGAATCCTAAAAGTCAGTTAAATAAAAAACTAAATTAAATTACCTATGAGTAGGTAATTCATAGGTATTTTATAAAAAGCTCTATTCGGATTCAGAGTGAACTAAATTACCACTTAATACATGAAAATATTTTGAATGGAAAATAGAGACAAAAAATCAAGTCTAAAATCATGCCACAAGTGACTTAAGAGCAAATTTAATAAAACATTAAAATATTAAAAAGGTTTTACTAATCTCTCAAGGACAAAAAACTCAAACCTTTATATTATATTTATCTTAAAGATTCTAAGGCTCTTACCTTAGGTATATCTGGCTCATTTTCTTTTTAAAGATCTTATTTCTTTGAGAGGGAGAGAGTGAGTGAGAGCACAAGAGCAGCAGGGGGAGAAGCTGACTCTCTGCTGAGCAGGAAGCTGGATGAAGGGCTCGATCCCAGGACACTGGGATCATGACCTGAGCTAAAGGCAGATGCCCAACAGACTGAGCCACCCTGGTGACCTTATCTCCCTTACTAATATTCTCTATAAACTTAGATTTTCTGGGAGTGTCTGGGTTTGGGTAGGCATCTGCCTTTGGCTAGGCATCTGCCTTCAGCTGAGGTCCTGATCTCAGGGTCCTGGAATCGAGCATGTCGGGGTTCGTACTCAGTGGGGAGTCTGCTTGTCTCTCTGCCCTTCCCCCTGCTGATGCTTGCTCTGTCTCTCTCTCTCAAATAAACAAATATAATCTTTTTAAAAAGGTACATAAATAAACTTAGATTTTCCATTGTGTTTGTTACTTAAGTATTTTTTTTTCAACAGAAAGATGCCTGCTAGGTAGTAGATGTTTAAGAAATAATTATCTTCATGATTATTTTTTGGCTAGTCCAAACTACTTATACATTTTATCTGAAGTAGAAATAGTAGAAAAATGACTTTCATTTTTTTTAAATAATTTTATTTAGGGAGCAAGAATGTATGCAAGTGGGGGAAGGTTAGAGGGAGAGGGAGAGAGAGAGAATCCCAAACAGACCATGCTTTTAGCATGGAGCCTGACACCAGGCTCGACCCCATGTCACTGAGATGATGACCTGAGCCAAAATCAAGAGTTGGATGCTTAACTGAATAAGCCACCAGGCATTCCCAAAATGACTTTTATATATGGGTTTTAAATCATGTTAAGAGATTGTGGAAAACACACTTGCTTTTTTATAAAAGCTTTGGGAAAAAAAATTATATTTTGGGGGGCACCTGGGTAGCTCATTCAGTTGAGCGACCAACTCTGGATTTCAGCTCAGGTCATGATCTCAGGGCTGTGAGACTGAGTCCCTTGTCAGGCTCTGCACTGGGTGTAGAGCCTGTCTGGGATTCTTTCTCTCCCTCTCCTTCTGCCTCTCTCCCCACTTCTCTCTCTGTCTCTAAAAAAATAGAAAAAAAATTATATTTTCAAAATAATAGCCTCTATAGGGCATCTGCATGATGCAGTGGGCTAAAATGCCCAATTCTTGGTTTTTGCTCAGGTGGTGATCTCAGGGTTGTAGGACTGAGCCCCGTGTTGGGCTCTACACTCAGTGTGGAGTCTGCCTCAGACTCTTATCTCCCTGTCCCTCTGTCCCTCCCTGACAGAATAAATAAATAAATAAATAACAGCCTCTATCAAAAACAGCCTATAAAAAGTACTGGTGAATAAAGGAATATTTTACAGAAAGCTTATGTGAATATGTTAGTTTAGCAGCTAAATTCCTCATAAAAGAAGGGCAATGTTCTGCTTTCCTTGAAAATCTGAAAATCTTTGTAATTAGAAAAGGGGATTGCTAACAGAAGCTACATTTGCATGACTATAAATTTATAAACTCTTTTCTAAATCTGTGAAACATGGGGTGCCTGGGTAGCTCAGTTGGTTGGGCATCTGACTCTTGATTTCTGCTTGGGTCACAATCTCGGGGTTGTAAGATCTGGCTCCAGCTCAGTGTGCAGTCTGCTTGGGATTCTCTCTCTCCTTCTTCCTCTGCCCCACCCCTCACTCACAAGCACTCCCTCTCTTTCTCTCTCTCTCTAAAATAAATAGATATTTATTTATAACAAATAAAAGGTAAGGAAGTATAAAGCATATGTTGGTAATGACAAGAGGCCGATGGGAGAAAAGCAGCCTGGACACATTCAACAACAAAATGACTTCAAAATCCAGATATAGTCTAATTAGTTAAAGCCTGAGGTTACGCCAGAATTATACTAAACAGTGACAAAAGGAGTTCAGAATCAGTAAGGAAGTTGATAAACTATTTCTCATTTACCTTCTTTGAACACTTTGAATTACAAGCAATATTCTTTAATGAAGCTAATTAAAATTAAAATGCTTAAAAAATTAGAATTATGATAAGCATATTATTCTTTGTCTCAATCACATCAATTGTTGGTCCAGAGGGTTAGAACCTAAATGTCACTACTCACTAGATAGCAGTTACTCTGATCTTATGTTGGACTAAAAAGTTAACGTCTAAATACAATAATTGCAGGGGTGCTTGGCTAGCTCAGTCAGTTTGACCTTTGCCTTCAGCTTGGTCATGATCCCAGGGTCCTGGAATCCAGCCCCACGTCAGGCCCACTGCTCAATGGGGATCCTGCTTCTCCTTCTGGCTCTCCCCCTGCTTATGCTCTCTCTCTCTCTGTCAAATAAATAAGTAACAGCTTAAAAAAAACAATAACTGAAAGTAAGTAAAAGATGAATTCCCTGAACGCAGGGTAAAGACTAACATCTCCATATGCTCTAAATACCTTCTTCATTTACTTTTACCATGTGGACAGGAGCTCCAGAGCATCTGATGGCTTTCGAGCTGTTTACCTGTAAATCACTGCCTAAGGATGTATGAAGAAATAGAAAGATGAACCCAAACAGCATAATCAGTTTCAACTGGGGGGAAAAAAGCTGAAATTTGGGTCCATCCTGAAGTGAAGAGACGAAAGGGAAGAAGGATCCAGCCTAGAGGAGAGTCTCATGGCCTCCCACTCCCCTGTCCAGACAAAGAGATGAAACCAGCAAACTACTTATGGAGCCCTTTTCAATGTCCATGGAGTAGAACTTGGGCTCTTCAACAACACTCTCCCTCCTTCTGGCCTCACATCACAGGAGAAGTACTTCTTTATCGTTCATCTGATGTAGGAAGTTTGCTCCAAGGTAAAAAGGAAAAAAAAAAAAAAGAGAGAGTATAGAGTGATTTGCAAGTTCAAAGAGACCAATTCAGGATTCGTTTAAAGTTTGTAGAGGCAACTTTGGTTAATCTAGACCATGCAAATTTCCCATCCAAGCTTGGTGATACAATGTCACCAACAAATGCAGTCTATCTGAAAGAAAAGAAAGAAGAGACATACAGATGCCTTAGAGCCAGAGCTTTATCTCCATTAGGCTCTTAGATTTTGGAATAAGAGTTTGGTTTTGTATTTAAACCTGTTATTTTTGTATCTTGAGCAGATTTTAATTTGACCCATAAGAAATATATTTTTAAAATTATTACCTTCATTGACTTTCTCAGGATGCCATCCTGTTGTCCAACCCAGGGAAAATGTCACATCTGGAAAGAAGGATGTCACCGTGTCTATAAAAGGTTTTGCATCCACTACCCTGCTATTTCCATTTGGACCAGGAAGAATATCAGCATTAATCCACACAGGACGTTTCAGATGCCTCTTCACATTTTCCAGGAGCATCATGGATGGTTCCACAGCTGCCAGACTAAAAACATAGTTGTTGTCAATGAGATACATTCCTAAAGTAAAAGTAAAAAGTTCTTTTAGACTAGTGGTTTCAGGGCGCCTGGGTGGCTCAGCGGGTTAAAGCCTCTGCCTTCGGCTCAGGTCCTGATCCCAGGGTCCTGGGATCGAGCCCCGCATCGGGCTCTCTGCTCAGCAGGGAGCCTGCTTCCCTTCCTCTCTCTGCCTGCCTCTCTGCCTACCTGTGATCTCTGTCTGTCAAATAAAAAAAAAAAAAAAAAAATCTTTAGACTAGTGGTTTCAATGTTTTCAACTTCCTAACAAAATTGTAATACGATAATGACTGAACTAAATAAAATCAAAGATTACATTAACACCAGAGGAGAAGTTAACATATGCCATATCTCAAATTGTTGACTTATACTTATTATTCATGAGGATACCTTAAGGGTTCTAAAAACACATGAAGAATGCCACTATTTGTAGAAAGACTGAAGTTTCAAAACTGTATTAGGAACACTCAGTATAAAATAATTTAAGAAAAGACATAAATACTCAGTCTTCAGAGAATCTATACATAAGATTTAAAAATTAGATATACTCATAACCTGAAAATTCACATTTATGAAAATACCTACAGTATACCTAGGCACTGTGTCTCTACTGGCTCATGACCTCAGAGAAAAGAGCCTCTATTCTTTCATGTATACTTTTAAGTTTGGATGCATAAACATATTTCTAAAACTGGTTGCAAAGTATAAAATTATAACATCCTCTTAAAACTTTTATAAATTTCATTTTCACTTCATAAACATCTTTTCTGGAGTCTAGAGACAACCATATTTTAGTTACTATATTTATTTTTTAAAAGATTTTATTTATTCACTGGGCAGGGGGAGGGAGAGAGCACAAGCAAGGGGAGTGGCAGGCAGAGGGAGAGGGATAAGCAGATTCTCCACTGAGCAGGGCAGGGGCCCTGGGATCATGACCCGAGCAGAAGGCAGACAATTTTTTTTCATTTTATTTTATTTTTTCAGTGTTCCAAGATTTATTGTTTATGCACCACACCCAGTGCTCCATGCAATACGTGCCCTCCTTAATACCCATCACCAGGCTCACCCATCCCCCACCCTCTCCCTTCCAAAACCCTCAGTTTGTTTCTCAGAGTCCACAGTCTCTCATGCTTCATCTCCCCCTCCGATTTCCCCCAATTCACTTTTCCTTTCCTCCTCCTAATGTCCTCCATGATATTCCTTATGCTCCACAAGTAAGTGAAACCATATGATAATTGATTTTCTCTTCTTGGCTTATTTCACTCAGCATAATCTCCTCCAGTCCCATCCATGTTGATACAAAAGTTGGGTATTTATCCTTTCTGATGGAGGTGTAATATTCCATTGTATATATGGCCCATATCTTCTTTATCCATTTGTCTATTGAAGGGCATCTTGGCTCTTTCCACAGTTTGGCTATTGTGGCCATTGCTGCTATGAACACTGGGGTACAGATGGCCCTTCTTTTCAAGACATCTGTATCTTCGGGGTAAATATCCAGTAGTGCAATTGCAGGGTCATAGGGTAGCTCTATTTTTAATTTCTTAAGGTATCTCCACACTGTTTTCCAAAATGGCTCCACCAACTTGCATTCCCACCAACAGTGTAAGAGGGTTCCCCTTTTTCCACATTCTCTCCAACACTTGTTGTTTCCTGTCTTGTTAATTTTGGCCATTCTAACTGGTGTAAGGTTGTGTCTCAATGTGGTTCTGACTTGAATCTCCCTGATAGCTAATGAGGATGAACATTTATTCACTTGTCTGTTGGCCATTTGTATGTCTTCTTTGGAGAAGTGTCTGTTCATGTCTTCCCATTTTTTTGAGGTGATTATCTGTTTTTTGAGTGTTGAGTTTGAGGAGTTCTTTATAGATCTTGGATATCAGCCCTTTGTCTGTAGTGTCATTTATGAATATCTTCTCCCATTCTGTGGGTTGCCTCTTTGTTTTGTTGACTCTTTCCTTTGCTGTGCAGAAGCTTTTTATCTTGATGAAATCCTAAAAGTTTATTTTTACTTTTGTTTCCTTTGCCTTTGGAGACATGTCTTGAAAGAAGTTGCCGTGGTCTATGTCAAAGAGGTTACTGCCTATGTTCTTCTCTAGGATTTTGATAGATTCCTGCTTCACGTTAAGGTCTTTTATCCATTTGAGTTTATCTTTGTGTATGGTGTAAGAGAATGGTCGAGTTTCATTCTTCTACACATAGCTGTCCAATTTTCCCAGCACCATTTATTGAAGAGACTGTCTTTTTTCCCACTGGATATTTTCTCCTGCTTTGTCGAAGATTATTTGACCACAGAGTTGCAGGTCCATATCTGGACTCTCCACTCTGTTCCATTGGTCTATGTGTCTGTTTTTGTGCCAGCACCATGCTGTCGTGGTGATCACAGCTTTGTAGTAAAGCTCGAAATCAGGCAACATGATGTCCCCAGTTTCGTTTTTCTTTTTCAACATTTCCTTAGCAATTTGGGGTCCTTTTGGTTCCATACAAAATTTAGGATTGTTTATTCCAGCACTTTGAAAAATGCTGGTGAAATTTTGATCAGGATGGCACTGAAAGTATAGATCGCTCTGGGTAGTACAGACATTTTAACAATGTTTATTCTTCCGATCCATGGGCATGGAATGCTTTTCCATCTTTTTGTGTCTTCTTCGATTTCTTTCATGAGTGTTCTATAGTTCCTCAATACAAATCCTTTACCTCTTTGGTTAGATTTATTCCAAGGTATCTTATGGTTCTTGGTGATATAGTAAATGCAATCTATTCTCTAATTTCCCTTTCTATATTTTCATTTTTCGTGTATAAGAAAGCAACTGATTTCTGTGCATTGATTTTTTTATCCTGCCACATTACTGAATTGCTTATGAGTTCTAGTAGTTTGGGGGTGGAGTCTTCTGGGTTTTCCATATAAAGTATCATGTCATCTGCGGAGACAGAGAGTTTGACTTCTTCTTTGTCAATCTGAATACCTTTTATTTCTTTTTGTTTTCTCATTGCTGTGGCTAGGACTTCTAATACTATGTTGAAGAAGAGTGGTGAGAGTGGGCATCCTTTTCGTGTTCCTGATCTCAAAAGGAAGGCTGTCAGCTTTTCCCCATTGAGAATGATATTTGCTGTGGGTTTTTCATAAATAGATTTTATGAAGTTGAGAAACGGTCCTTGATCCCTATACTTTGAAATTTTAATCAGGAATGGATGCTGTATTTTGTCAAATGCTTTTTCTGCATCAACTGAGAGGACAATGTGGTTCTTCACTCTTCTCTTATTGATTTGTTCTATCACATTTATTGATTTGCAAATGTTGAACCACCCTTGCATCCCAGGGATAAATCCCACCTGGTCATGGTGGAAAGTACTGTTGGATCCTATTAGCTAGGATCTTGTTGAGAATCTTGGCATCCATATTCATCAGGGATATTGGTCTGAAATTCTCCTTTCTGATGGGGTCTTTGCCTGGTTTAGGGATCAGGGTAATGCTGGCTTCATAGAAAGACTCTGGAAGTTTTCCTTCTGTTTCTATTTTTTGAAAGAGCTTCAGGAGAATAGGTATTATTTCTTCTTTGAATGTTTGGTAGTATTCCTCAGGGGATCCGTCAGGTCCTGGGATCTTGTTTTTGGGGAGGTTTTTGATCACTGCTTCAATCTCATTACTAGATATTGATCTATTCAGGTTGTCAACTTCTTCCTGTTTCAGTCTTGGAAGTTTATAGGTTTCCAGGAATGCATCCATTTAAAAGGCAGACACTTAACAAACTGAGCTACCAGGTGCCCCCTTAGTTACTACTTAAATAAAAAAGCAGTTTTACTCTTTTCTCTACATCTATTCTAACTGACATCTATAGATTTTGAAACAATAAGGTTATAATCAGCCTACATAAATATTGCTTATTTTTAAAGATATATTTATTTACTTTAGAGAGAGCGAGTAGGGTGAGGGGCAGAGGGAAAGAAAGAGAGAAAATCCTCAAGCAGACTCTTTGCTAAGAGCAGAGCCCAATGTAGGACTCCATCCCAGGACCCTGAGATCATGACCTGAGCTGAAATGAAGAGTTGGATGCTTAACCAACTGAGCCACCCAGGCATCCCCATAAATTTTACTTTTTAAAAAAATACACATATGAACTTTACTGGACTACTACACTATTTATAATTCTGAATCTCTTCTGAATCTTTAAGGCCTAAATTTGCTTCTGAGAAAATTAGGTTTTAGTGACTACTACAGTGGGAGGCTAAGAGTTGGGGAGATGGCTGTCAGAGGGGAATATTCAGTATCCTCTCCTCACATTTCCAAGTTTCTTAGTGGATTCGAGTCCACCTGCCTATGCTTCCAGCACTCTTCAACTCACTCCTTTCAGGCCTCCTAGGATAAGAAGAAAAAGTAATAACTTCCCTATTTATTAGGTCATATTTATTAGTGAGAAAGGATACTATTCATTAAAACCAGGGGCGCCTGGGTGGCTCAGTGGGTTAAGCCGCTGCCTTCGGCTCAGGTCATGATCTCAGGGTCCTGGGATCGAGTCCCGCATCAGTTCTCTGCTCAGCAGGGAGCCTGCTTCCCTCTCTCTCTCTCTCTGCCTGCCTCTCTGTCTACTTGTGATCTCTCTCTGTCAAATAAATAAATAAAAATCTTAGAAAAAAAAATACCAGAGGAAGCTAGTCTCCAGCCTCTCTTTCACTCTGCTCCCGTGTAGTGAACTTCTTTTTTAAAAATACATTTTATTTATTTTATTTATTTATTAGAGAGATAGAGAGAGAGCACAAGTAGAGCAACAGGCAGAGGGAGAGGGAGAAGCAGGCTTCCTGCCCAGCAGGGAGCCTGATGTGGGGCTTGATCCCAGGACCCTGGGATCATGACCTGAGCCAAAGGCAGACACTTAACCGACTGAGCCACCCACGTGCCCCATGAATTTCTTTTTGTTCATTCTCTCTCTCTGAAATGGAGACCCTAAATGTTAGTGGATTACTAAACTCTAATGCTGGACCTTGCAGACTTTAATTCAGATGCTATCATTTCTCTGTCTCAAATGCTTTCTGCCTTGATTAATATCAGTGCCATGTTAAAATACAATTCTGAGATCAGGCACCCCCATTCTTGGTAGCAAACAACTTGTACCTGTGACCCCAAAGCTTGCTTATCCGCAAGTCCTATAGCAGCAGCCAAGTTCCTGTGGGGTTCTGCTCTTCATGGGTGGAACAGGAAGAAAACCTGAATTAATTCACACATGTCTGCCACCAACATCTCTTTTTCCAGAAAAAATTCTGATTTCTTAAGAAATCTGGTGTCTGTGAAGGTTGGATTAAACACTAATTTCCAGCTTACATTCAGGGAGGAGATTCTTAGGCTTTCTCAATTTAGTAAGGTGATATAGGGCATTCAATAATGGCTTACTACTGGGTAACATCAGCAGACAGCATATGCTCCCCAAAATTGAAATCCCACCAGCATATATGAAGGGTCTACTATGTGCAAAGCACTGTGCAGTTAAACCTAAGGAGTTATGACATAGAACATAATGAAAAAGAATTTAATATATATATTCTATATGTAAATATTTTAATTATTGCTGATATAGACTATGTTAATTTTACTTGCCCTTATCAGTAACTTAAATAAGAAAAACAAAACCTCTATTAAGAAAAACCCAAAACCTTACTGAAGAAAATAAAATCTTTTGTGTTGTAATTTTTATTTTTCTGGAACAGAAAGCTGACAAAACAATGATAAAATCCTTCTTGAAGAGTAAATGTCAAGGAAAAGCCCTAACATTTTTGGGGAAAAACAAAGGCTGAGGATGCATTTTGCCCAACAGCAACATATAAGGCATACTTCAAAGAAAAACAAACTATGTTTCAGATAAATTTTAGTACTTAGTTATTATTTGTATACCAAACAAAATAACTTAGAGCCATAAAATAAGAACCAGTAAAATTTGACTAATAGGTCCATCAGCTCCTTTTACAGAGGTAGCACAGAGTCTTCCTTCACAGTGTGAACTCTCCAGCCAGGCTGGCAGATTTCCTACCAACTCTGTGACAATAAGCAGTCTACTGATTCCTCTCTGCTTCTTTTTCCTCATCTGGAAATGAGGATGATAGCAATAAGCTACCTCCTAGGATTGCTATGAGGATCAAATGAATCAACACATTCAGTGCTCTTAGAAAAGTGTTTGACACGGTATACATGTCCATAGAACTGTTAGATAAATTCATTTCCCTTCAAATATGTTCTGACCAAAAAATCTGCAATCTTAGTGGCTCAGCATACGTGTGTGTGGTAGCCGCTAGGAATGAATGAGCTGATCTGACTAGTGAGCAGCCACAGAATGTATCAGAGAGAACAATTCAATGGGCAATAGTAAACATATACATGAAAAGGCAAGGAGAGCTAAAACTGAGTCACCAAACATTAAAGAGGTGCGGAGGGAGAGGCAAAGTGAGAGGGAGAAGCAGCCTCAGCGCTGGACAGGGAGCCTGATGCAGGGCTTGATCCCCACACACTGGGATCATGACCTGAACCAAAGGCAGATGCTTAACCCACTGAGACACCCAGGTGCCCTAAATCCTAGACTTTCATAGCAGTCCCCTTCATGGGGCTTATGGTGAGCTTCTGTAGTAGCACAGTATATTCCTGGCTTTACCTATAATTTTTATACTGCTAAAATACCGCAAAAGTAAAATTTTCCATGACAGCCACAGAAAAGGAAATAACACTTAATCTTGCTCTTCACTGTCAATGCTTCCAAAATAAAATTTATAAGGAACTCTTGCATTATTGAAAGACTTCTAGATAACTTCCCATATACAAATACAATGTAAATCAGGTAGGATATGCATTAACTACCCAAACTACTACCAACTCTCTCTCAGATTACTTTTTTTTTTTTTTTTAAAGAGGGTAAGTTGTGGGGGCAGGGTTGGGAGGTAGGGAGAGAGAATCCTATGCAGGCTCCATGCCCAGCACTTAGTGCAATGCGGGACGTGACCTCACAACCCTGAGATCATGATCTGAGCTAAAATCAAGAGTCTGATGCTTAACTGACTGAGCCACCCAGGTTCCCTTTGGACTACTTTTAGTGAAAGCAGCATTTTAAATTTTATCATTCTATTATCACAATGGTCATTTGTGATAAATTCCTTTGTAAAAATGAATTTAATTTTAGCTTCAAAGGGTTCCTAAGAAACAATTTAAGTGAACAACTCAATAGGTCTTAGGTCCCTTCTTGAAACATACTAGTTTGTAATTCCATTTTCAGTTTGAAGTATAAACTTAGTCAAGTACAGATATATGAAGCTATTAACCTTTTATTTTCATTGTTACTCTACAGCAACTAAAAGACTGAAAATGTTTATACAAATACCTCTTGAAATCCAGCTTGATGCCTTTATTGCTTTTTATAACTGCAGTCAGCCATTCCTGTAAAGTATTATCACTATTTGTTTCAGGAGGATGGGCCATGATTGGTTGGCTATATTCTGACCCATCACTCGGAAGAAGGACATCAGCCTCTATCATGTGAGCAGTACCTGTCCAAATAAAAGAACTTAAGTTAATGCTAATAAAACAGGGACTGAAGAAGATGTCAGGTCCAGTAGTCTTTTGAGGAAGACAAAAACTAACATTTACTGAATAACTACTAAGTACCAGGTACTGTACTAGGCCTTCACAAGTTTGTTTGTTTCACAGTTGAGCAAACAGGCGAGGAGTTAAATGCCTTTCTGTAGATCTACAGCTCTTAAGCTGATGTTAAAATATTAATTTCTTTCCAGTACATAGCAAAGTAAGTATACAAAAGGAAGGATTAATATGTGTTCATTGAAGTTTCTGAGAATAAAATAGTACTTTTATCTTCTCACTCCTCACATAGAAACTATAGATATTTATTGCTTATAGTGACACTTTTCCTGAAGATGTTACAAAAGTTTTTTTAAATACATATTTTATTCTCAAAAAGACTCAATGTTTTCTGTTTTTCTTACCAGGACATTTTAAAATATGAATGTGTTTAAAATCTAAATGTTAATAAATAAATAAAATTTAAATGCTGAAACCATAAAATAAAATTACATTATATGTAATAACTTCTGTAACAACTTTGACTATTCTGAGCTCTAGATGTGTTGACAGTGCAATAAATACCAAGTGGTACTTTTACATTGTTTCTCCTGTACTCTGTTTTTTTAAAAATCATAGACATTGTTGAAAATCCAGTTTCCCATGTTAACCAAACTGAAACAGATGTATTAATAATAGTTATACTATGTTTAAATATTCTGGGAGAAATGAGATAAACCACTGAAATATAGCCTTCATATCTCTAGGATCCTCTCTCTTTTCCTTTAGCCTAAAAAGAAATCACAAAACTAACCATGGCTGAGAAAAGGGATTTGTGAAGAGCATTTCCAAACTATAAAATTTGGGGCTCCGGTTTTGCCTAACAGAATGTAAAAAGGACATTATCTGAAGACTAACCTATGAAAACTTCCTGGATCAATATATTGATCTATTGATCTCTATACTATTTTTAGTATAGTATAATAAAAAAATACTATATTTTTAGTATAAGATTTCAGCATATACTATTATGAATTATAAAATTTTAACAATTTTTTCCAAATTTTTAGTTGCTATTACATAGAAATAAAATTTATTTTGTTTTGACTTTGTATCCTGAGATTTTTCTAAATTTACCCATGAATTTCAATCATTTATCTGTGAGATTTTTGATTTTCTATATATAAAACCATTATGTCTGTAAGTAGTACTTTACTTCTTCCTTTTTTCCATTTTTAAAAATTAACATAGGGGTGCCTGGGTGGCTTAGTTGGTTAGGCATCTGCCTTTGGCTGGGATCATGATCCCGGGGTTCTGGGATCCAATCCCAAGGGCTCCCTACTTAGCAGGGAGTCTGCTTCTCTCTCTGACCCTCTCCCCTACTCATGCTCTCTTTCTCCCTCTCTCTCTCTCAAATAAATGAATACAATCTTTAAAAAATTGACATATAATTCACAGACCATAAAATTCCACTTTTAAAGTATACATTCAATAGTTTCTTATTTTTTATTTTTTAGATTTTTAAAAAATTTATTTATTTGACAGAGAGAGAGAGAGAGAGCATAAGCAGGAGGAGCAGCAGGCAGAGGAAGAGGGAGAAGCAGGATCCCCGCTGAGCAGGGAGCCTGATGTTGGCTCCATCTAGGACCTTGGGATCATGACCTGAGCCAAAGGTAGACACTTAACCAACTGAGCCTCCCAGGCGCCCCACTTCAGTGTTTTTTTAGGATATTCAAAAGGCTGTGCAACCACCACCAGTACTTAATGCCAGAAAAATTTCATTATCCCAAAAAGAAACCCTGTATCCATTAGCATTCACTCCCTATTCTCTACTCCCACCAGCTCCCGGCATTCACTAAACAACTTTTTCTTGAGTGTTGCTTTTGCTAAAATTCATTTATTACACAATCACTGTGTGGTTATTATGTGCTAGGCACTGTTTTAGGTATCAGGGATTCCATATTAAACCAAAGTTCCTCCTTTTGAGGAGAAAGAATAACAGTTAAAAAATATCTTTACAGGGGCGCCTGGGTGGCTCAAAGGGTTAAGCCTTTGCCTTCAGCTCAGGTCATGATCTCAGGGTCCTGGGATCGAGCCCCACGTTGAGTTCTCTGCTCAGCAGGGAACCTGCTTCCCCATTTCTATCTGCCTACCTCTCTGCCTACTTGTGATCTCTCTGTCAAATAAATAAAAAATCTTTAAAAAAAAGAAAAAATATCTTTACAGTAAAAGAAATATATATTCAGATACATTATCCAGATATATAATTGAGTAGGATGCAAAAGACACATTAATTTTTACAATAAAACTTGGGACTGTGGAGTTTTCCTTGTTGTACCAGGTCACTGAGCTATGCCCTAGACCTCTCGGGTGATAATGCTTTCAGTCTCCTGTGCTGCTGCAGCCAACATGGGTACTTCATAGGAAGTAGCTAAAAAAAACTGCTATAGTGTTCATCTATAATGAAGGGATATATATAACTATATATCCTATATAGATATATAGAGAAATAGATAAAAGATATATATAGATATAGACAGATAAATACATACATGTGAGATATATATATATATATATATATTTTTTTAATAGATTAAGTTAGTAAACCAAAGTCCTGGTTTCTATCCCAAGGCAATTAATTATAAATTAGTACACAATGGCTTCATCCATCCATTAACATACTTGTTGAAATTCTCCTTAGTACACTATGAAGGACACAAAAATATGTAAGACATACAACACTGATATTAAAAATTTTCTCAAATGACTACAATGTATAAGCAAGTGTAATAATATATTGAGAGTTTCAAGTAGACACAGAAAAAGTAAATCACTTTTGGAAAATAAGAAAATTCTTCCATTATGCAAATTTGTTCATTTTGTAAACAAAATGAGATCTTTTATAAAAATACTTATGTCAGCCTACAATTTGCATTTTGATCATCTAAGTCTTTGGTACCTACAAATATGCCTACATATCACAAAAAGACCTGAATCAATTTATTATCCAGTGTAAATACAAGAAACTGTATTGACTTACTTTTCAGTGCCTCATTCAGTTGTGCCTTATGGTTAGCAGCATGATACCAGACGATCTCAGCGCCATCTTCTGTTGTGATCAGGTTATTTCTCAGAAAATATTCTAGTACATTTTCACTCCAAGATCCTAAAACAACATTTAAATCAAAATGAATGGATTGTTTTTCATGGGGCAAACATTTTTTATTTTTTATTTTTTATTTTTTATTTTTTTAAAGATTTTATTTATTTATTTGACAGAGAGAGATCACAAGTAGACAGAGAGGCAGGCAGAGAGAGGGAGGGAAGCAGGCTCCCTGCCGAGCAGAGAGCCCAATGCGGGACTCGATCCCAGGACCCTGAGATCATGACCTGAGCCTTCGGCTCAGGTCA